ATAGACAATATGCAAAGCTTTTTTTTCAGTTTACAGCAGTATTTATTACACAAAATTTAAGTAAAGCTTAACATGCCGATCTTGCCCCGATTTCCTCTATGTGAATTTAATAACAAATTCGTTCATGACGCTGTTGCAATAATTTGATTCCTTTCCATAGACAATTATACAAATAAAAATTATAAATAGGAACCTAAAAAAATTTTAACTAAAGATTAACAAATTTCTCTGAGAGATTACACTTAAAAATATTGTACTGTATTGAAAATTAGTATTATTTTTTGTCGCTTTTAAATGTTCCTAGTTTCACTTAGTTCTTATTCCACAATGCTTACGAATGTAAACTGTTTCCATTATCGCTGAAAGAACAAAATATAGCCTACACCTGATGTGGCAAACTTTTCTCATGAGTGCCCAAAGAGGCACATAAAAGAAATGTTATGTAACACGTAAAATGTCATGTGATTCGAATTATCACTTGTTTTTTAAAACTTTTGTCGGTTATTTATTTAATTGGCTTCTCTAATCAGCTTCATTTTATGTATCAATTACATCATTTTCACTTCATTTTTTTGGTTCTTGTTATTGAAAGTCTAAAACCTCGGCAAACATAATTATTTTAAAAAATGAGTATGCTTACTCAACATTACGCAAACACAGAAATTTTCGCTAGTTTGTTTCACATAAAAATAAAGAAACGTGAAAATAACAACGATATGATAATAATAAGTCAATACATTACGAAAAGAGCTTTAGCACATGCACGCTCACTACTCGTTTATTACACAACTAAAATAATAAGAAAATAACATTACTTCCGTTTTATTACTATTTATTGCTAAATAAAAAATAATTTTTTGATTTAAATAAGAAACAAATACCAGTTACATTCTACAGTTTACACAAGATCGGCCTACGTCATCACCTTGAACTAATTCTGCCTAGAAATATCAGCTTGAATAGTAAACTCTTAGTTTACTACTTGTTAAAAATTTAGAAAAACAGTTTTATAAATTTTATATAATATTTTTGAGTTTTCAATGTGTTTTGCTTCATATTTAAATTTCAAACTTTTTCATTTTAGAACAAAATGATGAAGATAACGAGAATAATAACAGCAAACAAGAAGAATTTACTATGGCACATTTTAGAGATTTATTAGGAAAGATAATTTCCAATCCAATAGTAAAGATAAGTATTATTGTAATTTACATCATTAACTTATCATTCGGAATATGGGGCACATTTCACATAGAACATGGTATTAAGTATGAACGTTTATTTCCAAAAGAATCTATTTTTACAGAAGGCTACGGTATGGCTCTAAAGTACTTTAGACGTTATTCATATCCGTTTCACATAATTATAAATGGAACGTTGGATTACTCAGATATAAATGTACAAAAATCGATAGAAAATCTGCTGACAAAATTCGAGAAACATCCAAATATTGTCGGAGAAGAATTCACTGTCTCTTGGTTGAAATTCTACAAAGAATTTCAGAAAAGTCCTGTAGCAAAATTTTCATTACAAGGCTACAATATGTCAAACAAGCAGGACTTTATCGATGGACTTCGCGATGTGTTCTTTAATATCCGAGCTGCGCAGTCACTGTCTAATGATGTAGTATTTAACAGCAACAAAACTGATATCTTATTCAGTAGATTTTTTATTACGGGAAAAAATTTGAATTCTTCATACTCAGAAAGAGATACATTAAGAGATTTATTGAAAATTGCTGACGAATCCGACATTCCTGTACTTGTGCATTGTGTTTTTGCAGGTCTTATCGAGCAAGGAATCATCATTGGAGAAATTATTCGACAATTGTTTTGGATTACTGCTATACTAATAACAACAGTTTTTTTACTGTTTGTACCGAATTTATTAGTCGCAATTACTGTTGCAATATCTGTCGTATCTGCAATGGTAGAAACATTAGGTTATATGTCGTATTGGGGAATCAGCTTGGATATTATATCAATGATGAGTCTTATTCTATGTGTGGGGTTCAGCGTAAACTATCCTGCTCATATTTCGTATGCTTATGTCATGTCACAATGCGAAACACCAAACGAAAAACTAAAAGATTCTCTATATCGTATTGGTTTTCCAATACTTCAAGGATCATTGACCACGGGAATAGGAATATTGATTTTATATTCTGATGTATATTTTCTTTGCACATTTGCGAAAATTGTAATACTTGTTGCTATGGAAACAGCTTTTCATGCTTTGCTTTTTATTCCTGTTATTCTTTCTATCATTTATGCTATTTTCAATTATTGACTAATTTGTTGTCAAGTGGGAAGTCTTTATCAAATACTAATTTTTAAAATCTGTTGGTAAATAGGTAAAGGTAGTGTGTAGTAGTAGTAGTAGTAGTATTAGTAGTAGTTCCTGTAATGCCAAGTAGTATACTAGGCAGCAATTATTTTCAATCACTTTCGATTTTGAGATATGGCTATAGCTTTCTTCCATGCAAAGTATATCTGAGATCTTCTCATTGTCGAATCAATTTTATGGCTGCCTTAGCAATTCTATTATAAGAGTNATTCGCGTGTGAAATAGTAATTACAAAGCTACCACTATAAGTAGACAGTCTTTAAGTCAAAGTCAGTGTCAGCAGTAGATTAGTTGGCTTGTGATCTGATTGATCTTTTTTGCAAGTCTTTTAAAGGCAGAGAATATCTCTTTGTTGGTCCAGATGTTTGAGAGGTGGCACGGCCAAGCTATGTTCAATTCCTGCAAGAGTAGCTGCAATTCAGTTCTTTCTATTTCGGTCATCACACAATCAAAAATGTAGTGTTAAGATCCATGTGCAATCATACAGGTTGGGCACTGATCTGATGTTCTGTTTAAAAATCTGGCAAGATACGTAGCAAATTTTCCGTGATTTGTAAATAATTAAGTTGTGTAGTAATCGGGAGTAAACCATTTTATTTTAAAGAAGCTTTTTAAGTCGGGGACAGATGGAAACGTTATGCTTTGGTTAATATCATTCCAACGATGTTGCCAATGGTTAATAGCTTCCTCTTATAGTAAGCGTCGCAAAGTGATATGACTGATTTTATCGTAGGAAAAAGGAATGGTGGAGTTTAGTGCTGCAGACTTTGCAAGAGAGTCAGCCCTCTCATTGCCTGTGAGTCCCTGATGGGATCTAACCCAAGAAATACTGATATTACATGTTGAGTTTCTGATTGAATTCCTTATTTCCACTGCCAAAGGATGAAGCTTAGTGCTACGGATAATGTTAAGGGTAGAGAGTGAATCTGTGTAGATTTGAATATCATAATGTGGTAAATTATCACTAACCCAATCAATGGACTTTTGAATCGCCAAAAGTTCTGATTGGAAAACAGTACAGTTTGTATGGAGACGATAAGCTTGATTGTGTATCTCTAATTGTTTGTCGAAAACCACAAAGCTACTTCCTACTTTACCATAAATTTTAGAAATATCTGTAAATATAGTGATATCCGAATTTGAATAGTGATCAAGTATATTCGAATTGAAAATATCTGGGGATACAGCGTTACAAAAAGGATAAGGTTGTTCACATTAATCCGGTGTTATTATTATTGATCCTGCTTGGATTGAATCTCCCCATTTAAGTTGTTGTATTTTCTTCTTACGCAAAATTTCTATATCAATAGGTAACTTATGTGCAATTATTTGGAGACTATTGTTACTTGCGGTACGGAAGGCTTTTGTCAATAAAAGGAGTGCACGTCTTTGAGACGATACTAACTTTCTCTTTGTATGTACTTTATTTACTGCTCCTCCCCAAGTACCGCATCCATATGTGGTAACTGGGAGAAAGATACTGTCATAAATGGTAGAGAGAGCTTCGGATGAAAGCCCCCAATCTTTTTTGGCCACTTGTGAGAATGCTTGTATAATGAGGCCGGTTCGATTTGTTACGTTTTCGATATGCTTTTCCCAGGAAAGTCTGAAATCTAGTATAACACCAAGATATTTTAGTGTTTTTTCGACCTTGATAGTTTTACCATTCATCTTCAGTAAAGGAGGTCTTGAATAAAGGTTGCCTTTTCTGGGTTTATTAAATACAATAGCCTTTGTTTTGGTTGTGTTAAAATGAAGTTTATGTTTTATTCCCCATTTATATATACGGGCCAACATTAAATTACCCCTGTTTTCAAGATCTGCTCTTGATCTTCCACCAAGAAGCAGCAATGCATCGTCTGCATAAGTGGTACAATGAGTTTGTCCAAAGTCTTCTCTCAGGACAGAATCAAACATAATATTCCAAAGCAGGGTTCCACAGAAAGACCCCTGCGGACAGCCTCTTGAGATGTCCTTGTGTACCTCATGTTGACCGTATTGGAAAATTGCCTTTCTGTTCCTAAAGTAGTCAAGCAGGAGTTTTAACAAATTACGGGGGCAGCTGATTCTTCGTAGTTGCTGAGTCACTAGGGGCCACCAGGCACTATCAAATGCCTTTGAGATATCAAGGCTGACCCCTAGGACATATTTGTTTTCTTGTAGGATACGATAAATATTTCGGACTGTGTTATCTATAGCGTCCTCAGCTGTTCTCTGAGGACGAAAACCATATTGTGTATCACTAACTTTACTTGAGTTTTCTGTGTACCAAGTTAATCTTACCGTAATGAGTTTTTCGAGTACTTTACTCGAAATTGGTAACAGTGAAATAGGTCTACAGTCAGCTGATCCCTGCTTGGGTATGGGGATGACTCTTGCCTGTTTCCAGGCCCTAGGAAAAATGGCATGTCGTAAACAGTTATTAAATAAATTTATAAAATGATGTGGAATCAGGTTCCAAAGATTGATGGCTATTTCCGTTGTAATTCCATCCAAACTCGGGGTTTTACGTTTTCTCATTGTCAGGAAAGCCCTATCAATCTCTTTATCTGTAAAAGGTTGAATATCTTCAGTATCCTCCAGTATATTCTGTTCCAGTCGAGTCTGATTTTGCCACTCTGAATCAGAAGAAGGGTCATCTTCAGGGCAGTAAATATCTAGTTGCGTGGTCATTGCCTGAATTAATGAAGGAGGTTCATTTCTAAAATTGCAATCGGTCATAATCTTTGTCTTACGAAGTTTATTACAACACATTTTTGTCAAATAACCCCATGGGTTAGTTGAGGTTCTTGTGCAAAAGTTGCGCCGACTGCGCATTTTTTCCTCCTTGATCGTATTTTTATAAATTCTCTGGCTAGCAAGGTAGTTTTCTCTATGCTGATTTCTTGCATTATAATCTCTACATCTTTGATAAATTTTCCTTAATCTTTTTGTTGTTCTCCGTAAATCGCTCAGTCCTGCTGTCCACCATGGGACGCTTTTCCTAGTCACAACCACTTTTGGAATAAAAGTCTCACAAGCCTTTGAAATAAGTTCTATGTTAATGTTAATTTGATTTCTACAATCCACGGGATTATCTGAATAGCTAAAAGTAAGGTTGTTCTCGAGAAATTCCTTCATTTCTGACCAGGCAGCCCTATTTAGAGCATACTTACATTGAGGAGTAGAGATCAAGGTGTGATTATCCTCAGTACCAGTTAGGTCAAAGGCAATGTAATCATTGTCACTTAATGTTTCATCAGGAAGTACCCTCCAGTTTTCAATCTTAGTATAGTAACCAGCAGTAAAAAAGCCACGTCAATCCATGAGCTACCTCTTGCAGAATGAAATGTGGGGGGTGAAAAGGGATTATTCAGGATCAACAGATCATTATATGCCAAGAATTCTTCAAGAAGACGGCCCCGTCTGTCCAAATTATCCCCTCCCCAAGCAGGAGAATGTGCATTGAAATCCCCTGCCATAATTATATGAATCCCTTGAAAAGCTTCGACTATTCTTTGTAAATCATCGATAAAACTATCAGTGTCAACTCTTCCCGGGAAATAAATGTTCAGAATAATGATTCTTTTTTCTTGAATCATAATCTCTGAGACAATGATATTTTCATTACTATATTTCTCGTGATAAAGTATTGATAAATTAGTATTCGGCACGAGGGTAATGGCCCAAGAGAGTTGATTTGTTCCTTTAAGGATAGGGCAGAAGGCGGGGAGGCACGATGGAATGTTTTTACGACAATATGGTTCTTGTATCAGTGCCAAATCATAATATTTTAATTGCTTACTGAGCAAAGAAGTAGCCGAGATACTTCTTTCTAAATTGCACTGCAGAATACTTAAGTAAATCTTACTTTCCCGATCCATAATCAGTTCTTAGAAGAATAAGAGATTTAATCCGCTGATATACTGGACATGCAAAGTATACTTGAGACCTTCGCATTGCCGAATCAATTTCATGGCTGCCTTAGCAATCCTATTATTAGCAATTTTATTATAAGAGTACAACCTGCCGATCACCATTTTTTTTTGTGGTCGGCATGTTGTGCTCTTTTCAAGCGACAATGCTACGAAGTTTACACATTTCACTTCTTGAGAGGATTTCTTCATTGGTGATATGATCTGAATATCGGTTTTTTTAATTCGTCGTAAGCATCAATGTATAAGACATCTAGCGTTTTTAGTTGTTTCCTGATGCCTCCCAGGACTCACTAGCATAAATACCTATCGAAATTACGTAGAGGTAATCAAATTTCGTTCACAAAGAGATGGACGAGATCAGAGCAGAAGACGGTCGCCGCCCTTCTAACGAGGCACTTTATGTCTACTTTTGTTTCACTATTCTGGAAAATAACACTACTTACGTAAGTGAAACTCTCGACCTTTTTCAATTGTTGTATGCGTCAACAACTATTTGCGTTTGGGAAGAAATATGTACATGCCAAATTTTTGAGTGTGCAGCTGTTATTGTAAGGCCAATTCTGTCTTCCTCCTGACTCAATGTGGCTATTGCATAATGTAGCATTATCTTATTCTTTCCCAATAGGGCAATATCGACAACTAAAACCAAATCTATACTAATATTATAAAGAGGTAATGTTTGATCATCTTCTGTCTGTTTACATAAATAAATAAAAAAATGTAATGTTCGTTTGTTCCTATCGATTTCTTTGAAATTTTGACACAACGCTGCGTTCGAATACGCACGTGTTTTATATAATATACATGTCAAAAACCCTCCAGGGGGAGATGGACAGGATTAAGGCTTACTGTAAAGTACTCTGCTTATATCTATACTATTTTAGATGCGGTTTTTTGCGTTTTTGATTGCGTTTTAATAGGGTACGTCAACAGAATATGCACTACAAAGGGCTTTTTCGATATTCTTGCCGCGGGGGAGAAGGACAAAATTAAGGGTTATCGTGAAACACTTGGATTCTATTATAC